GGGAATTTATAGGTTTAACAGCAGTTTTTCCTGGGTGGAAAAAAAAAAAATCAGGGTAATTTTTTTTTTTTTTTTTTTTTAATCTACTGGTGTTTGAGTTTAGCATGCAACAGCAGCTCTGCTGGAGAATCGTAAGCTAATCGCAGTTTTGGGGAATTTTGCTGTTTTAGTTAAATGAGATGAGGGAGGGAAGCAAACTGAACTGTTACAATAAAACAGTGGTTACTGAGGGTTTGGGGGTGAGGTTTTTTAGAGGATTAGGTGAATACAAGCGCTGGTGTCAATCTGTCACCTTGATTCTGTGAAGCCTGAATGTATAATATGGTTGCCTATACGCCACCAGCAGTTACGGAAGCTGAGGCCTCAGATGCTGAGAGTTCAAGGCTACTGAAAGCTTGAAGAGGATTTAATGAAGAAATACAAACTTGGTAAAAAACAGAGTAGAATTAGTTAAATATGCTGAGTTCCCTGAGTTTACATTCAGGGTTATGGCAGAAGGCTAGAAGTATTTCAAGGAACTATAGTCTAGCAGACAAAGGTGGAATGAAGTCTGATGACTGGATTTTGAATGGAAAAACATGTATTTAAAATGAGAAATACTTAAGAGTGAGAGTAGTTAACAGCTGAAAGCAAATATCTAGGTCACAGATAAATTTGATATAGTAGGGCATGCAGAATGATTAGTAAGGAGATTGATATGAGAAATCTAAAGGTAACATAACGAGGTACATTGAATGGGGGCTGCTAGATTAAATTATTAATGGTGCTTCTCTTTGTTTGGCCTTGAGACTGTGGCTCGGTCGGACAACTGTACTGAAATGTCATGCAGACGTGGGTGGGAAGCAGAGGCACTGTTAACACAGAAGCAGATTGGAATATCTCCTGAGAAGGATGGCAAGACTTTTGAGGACCGTATCAGTAGAAAATTAATTAAATTGTACAGAATACAAGGTCACGTAGAACTGGAACTAATAGCAAATTTGGAATTTGTTCCTTCTGTGTTCAGAAACAGAGGAAAGAGTTGGGCATATTGGTGCTATAAGATTACAAAGTCAGAAGTGTAAAAGTCTATGGAGAAACCTAAGCACAGTCATAAGATTGCATCAGAAAAGTGGGTGTAGTATTTTTATAGAAATACAGAACTACTATGCTTGCATATGTCAAAGTGAGACCCTACTGAAATAATGATTGGCTGTCAACAAGAAGGTCAATTCAAACTGAAGCAAGTGCAGAAAGGTAGGAAGGCTAAGGGAACAAGATGAGCTATTTTATTAGGAGATAAATAATATTTTTGTATAGCTCATACACTGCCAAGTAGAAATAGCTAGGTTACCTGGGATTAAGGATTTCAAGACAGAATGGCACGGTTACTTGCCTTGCCTACCTTACCCTGCCTTGACAGAATAGTATGGTCTGTATAGCTGAACTAGCTTGTGTAGGTATCTACCTGGCAAGGAACTGGATTTCTAGGATTTCTAATGAAAGGCTAAGATGAGAAATACATTTGAATGGCCATAGGGAGGAAAGCAATTTATGATTGGGGGCACTATTAACAAAAAAATTAATAGAGAAACTGCCTTGGGGGCGGGGAGGGAGAACAGTCTAGAAAAGATTACTAAGGCTATGTCTCTTTCTGTTTGTCTGCACTATTTGTGAGTAATTGCTGCTAAGGACCTGGTGTCCACACAGTAAACATTTCAAGGTTTCTTTTTCTTTGGAATAGCTCTAAAGGAATTAAATTTGTGTACTCAAGACTGCTCCATTGTACAAACCAAGCACAGGAAGCTTGTTTTAAAAATGCACCCCTGCTCTGAATTAAAGCGCTAATGTAGGTGCACCTTAAAAGAACAGAGAAAGCTGAAAGATCTTGAGCTACTTGCCAAGATGACCCCTTTTGGTCTGTAGAATCATTCAGCTACAGTATTCTGCCTGCTTCCAAAATTTCCAAGCCCTGGCTCCATCTTCAGGGCATGATGCTGCTGCTTATCTCTGTCATTGAACTCATCCAAACCCTTTCTGAAATTGAACTCTATTGTCTGCTATGGAAGATGCATGAACTTGCAATTATAACGAGTGGCTCCTAACTGCTGTTCTAAGCAGCGTTATTTTTTTACTTCCTATTTTGGCTATAGGAATTAAAAGCTCTTGTATCACCTGTCCTCACTGAAGCATTTGTAAATGTGTTCTTCCAAGCCCAAATGACAACATCCTGCTTGATGTTAGCTTAGATAATCATTTGGGGCTATTTAATTACTTCGTAATTTCGTCCTTATCCATTGTTCATAGGAGAGAATCATACGTTAATAAGCAAGTAGGCTGGGTACTTGCAAGAAAAACAATGTGTTATGTGCTCTAGTTGTGCCATTGCAAAACTCGGGGGTCCCATGCTCCGGAATCCTGGCTTTTGCTAGGCTGACACTGCAGTGTATACATAAACACTTCCTGAGCTAGGGTGTTCAGTCTGCAGCTTAGGCAAGTCACTTGACGCATTCTTCACTTTTCATTTTGAATGTTTCTGTATTATGCTGTGAAGACTAATTAGTATATCCAGCACATTAAAATATGAAGTTCAGAGTAACCAGCACAATGGAAATAATCTCATGATAGCTCCCGGTCTAAAATATGTAATAATCCTTGTAACCTTCCAACCTTGCGAGGAGGATTTCCCTTTCCCAGTCCCGTTTCTGACTAAGCTCTCCTTGTAGCTTTTACTGCTTTTGATCTGTCGGTTGCTATAGCAACATGTAAGTGTTACTAGTCTGCATGTGGCTCGTGTTTTGTGGGCATTCCAGAGAAACGTTCTCTGGAGCAGACAGTTGTCGTTCATAGTAAGCTACTGAGCAAAACAAAACTTCATTTATTTATGTAAGATACTGTGGTCTTCTAATTTGATGAATATAAGCCTGCGATGCATCTTACCACTTCTAAGTTACTCTTGTGAACTGCAAGAGGGATAGTTTTTTCTAGTCAAATTCTTAAATATGATTTAAGTTCTTTCAACATGGAAGAACATTAACTAAATGTGCTTCATCAGTTTCCTAATGAATTAGAAATTTAGTAGATTATTAAAGTCTGATAACACAGTGTCTGGTATATTTCTAGCCACACTGTGGCAGTGCTGGAGCAAGACTGACTTAACTTTTTTCTTCTTTCCAGCTCTTATTAATGGCTTCTCCAACATACCTACACATCAGAAAAAAACGGTGTATCTCTGTCAGCTTTTGATAAGAACTGCAAAAGGAAAAAACCTTGGTAAATACTCTGATTCTTTTTTTTTTTTTTTCCCACTTATTGTTTAAATAGATTTGTGTGAACTTGCACAGAGGTGTATTGGGTATGCTTTTGCATAGCCTTTACTGTACATATATATATATAAAAAATAAAATGACTGAACTCTACATTTTGGACTGTCTATATTCCGAATGTGACTGAGCTGTATGCAGGACCAGTGTTGTTCTATGCTGACTGATTTAGCTGCTTTGAGTTTGAATGACTACATGCTTCTTAAATTATAGGTCTTTTTTGTCAGAGTAGCATCAACTGGAAATATACTGGAAAAGATTGACTAGCTCTTAGTGAGCAATATTTGCAAGTTTAAAGCACAGAATGTGCATTTCTTTCTGCACATGTAAGGTTAAAGTAGCACAGACAGTAGGAATAAGAATATGGATGAAAAGGATGACTGCCCTTGTTTCTTACAGAAGGCTGTAAGACTTTCAGCTGGCAGCAGGTCCTTGGGCCTCTTATTCACTACCAGGTCTCCTGTTTGGCTGTATTCACAACTTACTGGTTTGGCCAAGCTGATTTCACTTCCATGCTCAGGTTTCTGGAAGAGTTTTAACCTTTTTGCTGCAAGTTTTCACTGCTTGATAAAACTCATTGGAATGTAAGGACTTCAAAAGCAGTCTTCCCAGCATGAGCACTGAAGAAAAAAGTGTATTGTAACCTAGCAGCGCCACAAAGGTTTGGTTTTTTTAAAATGAAATTTCTTATGTTGCTTGTCAGGTAATAACACTCTTCTTGATTTAGTTCAGCTTGAGGATCAAATTGTAATATTTTAAAAAGTTCATCATATACAAATTATGAAACTTTTCTGATAATGCTTTAAAACTATATTATTGTCTATGACACTTGGCAAGGCAACTTCTGTGCGTGTTTGTATCTATCAGTGTAGAGAATGACCTGTGTGGTGAGGAAGATTGCATGTGCTTAGTAGGTATTACGTCAGATGTAGTTGCACAATGTACATGGAAAGCTAATATAGCGTATGGTAGCTTTCCTGGTTCTTTTCCAATTATTAAAATACTTAATCTGTACTGAGCCTTAAAACAGAGTAGGCTGTTTCAGATGGCAGCTCTTTAGCGGTTAAACGCTTTGTTTTTACAATATTAAAATAATATGAAGTGTCATATTCATTTATTGAAGCAATAATTAGAGAAACACAGAAGTGTTATTTTTTTAATGTGCATATATACATATAATACTGTTTAAATTTTCAGTGTTTGTCTTTTACTGTAGTGGGTATCATATTTTTTATTTTTTCAGTATTGCTTAAATTGTTTTCCTCCTGTCTGAAAAATGCTTACTGTAAGGAATAAGAAGATATCAAGAGAGATTCTGCTATGATGTCATATAAAATGAAGGAATAAGTGAGGCTGTAGTTCAGTGAACATCTTGAGCTATGCTGGCAGTGCCATGGGAAAAAAGCAGTCTTGTGCACCTGCCGGCTCCTACTGCATCTGTGATGGTGGCACACTCGCTTGTGCAGATGTGCAATGACCAGACTGCGAAACTGTTTCTAGAGTGTTGAGGGGATGGTTATTTGGCTAGGCTAGATTTCTGCCAGAACTGATCATTGATCCTGCTTGCTGGGAGTTTGCACAAACCTTGGTGTTGGCACAGCAGTACGATGACATGGGAGGTTGCTTCTGCTTTTTCAGTGACACTTCTGTGTTAAGCTCTTTGAATTTCCCTCTGTTTAACCCCTGCAAATGTAACAAAAAGTTAAGACACAGAAATATAGAGAGAGACTCAGGAAGAAAAAAAAATCAGGCTGGCTGTTATATTACAAAATTAACAGTATCAATACCATATGGTTTGATATCTGATGCCAAGCTTAATGTAAGAGTATTAGTAATGCGAGCCCAAATATATGATGCTAAACTTAGCACTATTGCAAGTGGCATTTTAAATGAACAATAATTAGCAGACACAATCTCCCTTAAAAATGCAACAGTAATGTTATTAACAAGGGTAAGAAGAACCAGCCTCTCTGAAAAGAAGGCAGTTGCTTCAGGTCTCTTAAATAATTTTTAGTCTCTCTCTTCAGGTGTGTTTGAAGAAAAAGGCATTGAAATTATGCATAGTACATATTACTTTATTGTGTATAAATAATGTAATATATTTAGCTTTATCCTTTAAGGTTTTTAAATACCTTTTTTCCTTTTTTTTTTTTTCTCCCCCTCTAAGAATGCCATTTTGAAAATGATAAAAGAATTTCACCTTTGGAATCTGCTCTGTCTTTCTGGACTTTACTTGAAAGGGAAGAAATTAAACTGGAAAAGCTTCATGAAGATATTCGTCGCTTAATTCAAATTCAGGTCTGTGTGACTTATTAAAAATCTTCAGGATGTTACCTATTCATTCTGCTAAAACACGGCTGCTTTTACAAAAAGCTTGGGCTATTAGCAGGCTGAACTGAATTTTCTAATTTTGTTGTATTTTCAAGTACAGAGTAAATGGATCTGTACAGGGGACCTTTTCCTATCTAAATTGATTCCTGTTTGTCCCAGTTCAAAGTTGTCTCAAAAGCTGCCAATCCAAAAAAGCCGATATCAATTGAGAGATCAGTTTTAAAACACTAGTATCTTGAGCTTTAAAATATATTATGAATAGCTTTTTTTCTGCTTACAAATAATTCTTCGTATTAGAAAACTTTTGATTTCAAAGAGAAACATGTAAAAACATGTTGATGGCTCCTGGGACTGTGAAAGTCTTTCCCTGAAAGGTGAAAGCAATACTGAGTAGGCAAGTATGGGACATTTTGCATCAATGAAGGTCCTTTTAAATGCCTGATGGATAGATTTTAAGTCTTTATACGTGAGGTTTAATATTACTTCAGAACTAACTTATAACTAGATAATTGTTGGTAACCCTTAAATATGTAATCCTCTGGATTTTGCAATACTTACAAAACTATAAAAGTGTGACTTCTCTTGTTTTTTTCTGAATCTCAGGTGAAATGTATTTCAGCGTATCTTGCAATTATATTTGTTGTAGATTGTAGCTGTCTATATGGAAAAGGGATATTTCAAGGAGGCTGCTGAAGTTCTTGAAAGGCTATTTACAGACTCGGCATCAGATAAGGTAGTAACTTGCTGAACTTGCATGAAGTTCTCTCATTTTCAGAGAACAGGGGAATGGGTTTCCAAAGCTAGCAAATGCTACCTGCATAGCTTTGTCCTAATTACTGCCTATGCAGTCACTTACACATGTGGCACTTGTAAATACAAAAGGAAATTTGTGGCTAGGGGACTGATAGAAATAATGGGTGATTTGGGGAGTAAAATGCTTCTAGCAGCAGTTGTTCTTCACTGTGGGCAGCATCAGTTCAAACTTCATCCCCTTTCCCACTTCATATGAGGAGTGAGGTGTCACTACAGATTCTGGGAATTTGATATCGCTGTTTTCTCAGAGTAAGACAGTATAAACATGCTGGTAGTGACATAGCAACTCCCTAATAATCAGTCTGCTGACTTTTTCTGAACCATTGGAGTGCACTCTTTATTGTCTCTGATTAGTGTTCTACGTACTGAAGCATCACAGGGACGTACAGCTCATTAGCAGCTGTAGTATAGAGCGGATATTATTATGCCTCTATCTGGAAAAGATAACATGTGGGTTGGGCCACATGTGTGGGGTTTGATGTTGACTGCATCATTCAGAAAGATGCAAGCTCAAGTGCATATCTCTTTAAAATAATAGCTAGTGCACACACCTGAATTTGCTGGGGTGTAGAAAAGAGCAAACGAAGGACTGCAGGCAAAAAGAAAAAAAGGCAAAAATGCTGCCTCTCTCTTCCTCTGGTATATTAGGACACGTTCCATGTAAATAGCATATGTATAACACTTTTCAGATACGCTCTTCATTCAGAGGATTCAGATGTTTGGCAAGTGTAGGCTGTGGTAATAGTATTTAAATTCATAAATTAGAATGCAACCTGTACACAGAAGTTAATTTTTTGCTATATTGGTCTCTGTGAGATTCAGAGTGGTTGGTAGACAAAATGTGAAGTTGTGGTTATCAGTATCAATGTGTCCTTAATGCTACTGTAGTAAATAGTCCTTTTCCTGAACACTGTAAACCCCTTTCAGTGGCAGTCTTTTTGAGGCAGCAAATGAGAAAAGAGAACCCAGTAGTGAGTGGCCTTTTCTGGGTGTTTTTGCCTCACTGACAACCCTGTTTTCAGTGTTATTCATAAAGGGAATGAAAATGAGGATCTCTAGAAAGTTACACTTAACCATTACTGAGCACATAATGTAAACTTGTGGTACTAGTTAACTTTAGAACCCTTTCAAACTGTAGCATGAAGTCATATAGGTATATTCAGAAAACTATATAATCATCATGTTTAGCTTTGTGTATGTACTGTTTAGCATAGATGCCAAGTTTACTGCAGGATATATTTTTGTGTTGTATAAAGCTGTGCTTTTCTTAGCCCTTAAGGGTGAAGCTGGCAACTGTAATTAAAAGCAAGGATCCATATGTTCCCCTTCTCCAAAGCTTCAGTTACGATCTTTTGATAAGTAAAATCAAGTCGTACATTGAACTTTACATGAAAGAAAATGAAACTAACTTCTTAATACAGGTATGTCAAAACTATTTTCAAAACTTATTTCAAAAGAGGTACCTGCTAAGATTAAATAGATTTATACTTTCAAGGGAGTTGTTTAGAAAATATTCAGTTATTGTATTAGATGAAAAGGAAATTTTATCTTCCTTTGGAGTGTCTTATTCAACCTTTTTTTTTTAAATAATATATGTTTAGGAGAAAGGTAGTAGGAGTAAGACTCCTTTAAAATATCTTTTGTGAATGTTTTTTTCCACAACTGTTTTGATTAGAAAAACAGTTAGGAGAAAAGCATAATTTAAAATGAGGCCTGTCATTTATGTATGGTTAACAGAAGCAGTTCTGATCGGAGACTCCTCAAAAGATAAGGTAACTATATATTTAATATTTATTTTGTTTAAGTCTGTATGACTTATAATACTAAAACTAAAAGATGAAGACCTGTTAATTTGGCTAAAAGCTTTAGGAATGTCAGAGGAGTTAGGAGATAGAAAACCATTATTGCTGTTTTCCTGTAAATAAAAAAGCTCCTTAAAACCATCTTGCTCAAAAGTGATTTAAAATTGGCAAGGACAACATTCCTCCTGCAGCTCATCTTCAGGAGGATTGTAAAGAATTTCTCTTATGTTTACTTCCTATAAAAGAATATTGGAGTGCTCAATTACAAAAGCACAAATATCTAAAGGTAATAAGAAGCAAATTTTAAATAAACAAACCTGAAGTTCCTCTGGGGTTTTCATTTTCTTACCAGAAAGAGAAACCAGAGAACTTATTAAATGTATTTGAAGTATAATACAATATCTTTTAATGGTTTCACTCGGCCGTCAGTTTTCAAGTTTATTTTTCCAGGGTATTTCTTTGAGCCTAAGAGCAGATGGAGGTTTGGAGATGTCGGAGGAGGCCCGGAACTCCATACTAGCACACCTAGGCCCTCTGTGTTGCACCCCCACTGCCTGCACATCCGCCCTACTGTCTGCACCAATGTTGCAAATCTTGCTTCTGAAATGTTTACTTCAGACTGAGTTACTCTGGGACATGGAGGAGGCAACTTTGTGAAGAGTTCCCACTTAGGCTGTGCAACATGTGTGACTGTTTCCCAGCAGCGTCCCTTGCGTTCTCTACAGCAAAACACTCTAGCTTTAACTGTTAATCTTGCTTCTCTTTCTTCTGGTGCCATATGTAGAAGTATAATCATAGAATCGTAGAATAGTTTGGGTTGGAAGGAGCTTTAAAGGTCATCTAGTCCAACTGTGCTGCAATGAGCAGGGACATCTTCAACTAGATCGGGTTGCTCAGAGCCCTGTTCAACCTGACCTTGAATGTTTCCAGGGATGGGGCATCTAACACCTCTCTGGGCAACCTGGTCCAGCGTTTCACCACCCTAATAGTAAAAAAAAAAAAATAAAAAAAAATAAATATTTCTTCCTTATATCTAATATAAATATAGCCTCTTTTAGTTTAAAACCATTACCCTTTGTTCTACCACAACAGGCCCTGCTAGAAAGTTTGTCCCCGTCTTTCTTATAGGCCCCCTTTAAGTACTGAAAAGCTGCAATTAGGTCTCCCCGCAGCCTTCTCTTCTCCAGGCTGAACAACCCCAGCTCTCTCAGGCTTTCCTCATAGGAGAGATGTTCCATCCCTCTAATCTTTTTTGTGGCCCTCCTCTGGACCTTCTCCAATAGGTCCACGTCTTTCCTGTGCTGAGGGCTCCAGAGCTCAGTACTCCAGATGGGGTCTCACCAGAGCAGCAGAATAGCCTCCTTCAACCTGCTGGCCACGCTTCTTTTGATGCAACCCAGGATACGGTTGGCCTTCTGGGCTGCAACTGCACAGAAGGCTCATGTCCAGCTTTTCATCTACCTACATTGATGGTCTACATTGCTAGACTGTTTTGTAGGCTGCTTTTTCTAGGTTACTGTCAAGCTTGGAATCTACAAGATTGCAGCTTCTACTGTTGATGAAGTTCTTGTGCTTCAAGAAACTCTTATAGGTTAACTGCCCTAAGAACAGTCGCAGATAAGGCATTACAAGGAAAAAAGACCTATACCAAGAAAGCATTCATCTAAATACTTCATAATTTTTCTTTGTAACTTTCATTTCTCTTTTGAAAGAGTTATTTTTAGGTACAAGTACAATTTGAAAGCTACTCTTAACTTTTAAAATACACCATAGTGGATTTAAACTTTTTTTTAATTGAATCCTTTCTACCCATTTATCTGTATGGAAACATGTCCTCACTTTCACATGTGTTTTACTACCATCAACCACTGTGAAAGAGCCAGTATTTTGAAAACTCGCAGCTGAAAGATGAGGTAGTTTGGGTAGCTATGAAACTTCTGACAGTGAAACATTTTCTTCTGTGACTGGAAGTATTCTGTGACCAGAATACCTTCCAGTATTTTCATGGAAGAATGTGTGAAATAAAGAATTTTTTTATGTTATCTGACTCTTATAAATGTTGAGACGTTCTGCAAGCTAGTGTGAAGGACAGGTTAAGATTTCAAGAAGACTCAAAATTGGATGGTTGACAGAAAATTAACAGAAGGCAAAAGCAAGCCCTGAAAGAAGAAACAGATGAAAAGCGGGAGCAACTGGCTAAGCAGAAAAAGAATTAATATTGGGCCTGTAGTGAATCTGCTAACTTTGAATCATTTTGATATTTGAGTATTGCAAAACAGATCACCTCTTGGGATGCATAGAGAGTGTTGGATGGAAGATGGTTGGCTCTGCTTAGTAATGATAGTGCACAACCAGGATTTTTTTTATGGTTTGGGCAGTAGGTATATCTTAAGATGCTACAGTATAAAGCTGATAGCAAAGTGGCAAGAATGACCTCATGTGGGTCATTTTTTTAGGTGTTATTTATTATAGCAAGTAAGTGGGAGGAATCCAGGGAAAAGTACAAATCTTACGATCCTCTGGACATTCTATAGAGAGTAACGAATGGAGGAGAAATAATCTTAGTTTGTGGCTAAAAGTTCAGGCAGGATGTTAGAAAATGCTTTTGCTAATACAGGAAAGGTTACATTACAAGCCTAAAGTCTGATCAGTCGTGTCTTTTGAAAGTGTTATAGGTATGCTTGATCCTGCCATGCGCTACAGAACTAGACAAACTTGTGAGGCCTGCCAGTTTTCAGTTTCTAATCTAGTTATAAAAACAGACTTTGGAGTACTCTGATAGTATTTGCAGTCTTAGTTAATCTCTGCAATATATTTCACTTATCTATATGTTCACTTATTATGCAAGTATTCATTGTATTTCTGTGTGTCCATATAAATATCGCTTCCGGCTGTGACTAAAATTTCTCTGAGTTATTAGCTGATAAAGATCTTGATGGATTTCAACTTAACACACTACAGTTGTTTTGAAACTACTTATTTTAGTGGTAATGAAGGGTCTGTGAAATAAGCACTGTTAGCCCTAATAGAGAGTACACATATTAATCTTAGTGTACACTATGGTTTCTAGGTATCTAGGTACTGGCTGGCTTTAATTTTAAAGTATCAATTCCATTTCTCACAGGCAGCCGCAAAACAGGTAGAGTCTAAAGGACTGGGAACAGCAGCATTGCAAAACAAAACTGTGAATGTCAATGAAAACGACAAAAGGAATTTGGAAACAAAACAAAGGTTTGTATTAAGCACTATACTGCTAAGGGACATGCTTGGACAGTAACTTGAAACTTGTAGAACTAAGAGTAGGTAGAAGGAAGGATGTTAAATTCCAAACTGTGTCCAATAGAAAATTAACTATAAGCCCATTCTCTGTTTTTAAGTTTTGGCTTTTCTATGGTTGTTACTTTTGGCATTTGAATCAAATAGCTTGGCATTAAGTTTAAGTACTTTTTAAAGATGCACATTTTTCAGTTTAAACAGCTGTCAGTCTTATATAACAATAAAAACATAGAAATACTTCACTTTTTTTTTTTTTTCCCTTTATGCTTGATAGAGCTCCTTTTAGTCCTGCCCTACTAGTTTCATGCTATAGGTCATCTGGAGAAGAAAGAGGATAAGGAAGGGGAATTAGTCTATTACTTTTTCTTTACAGCTAAACACAAGATTATCTTGCTTAGTGATACTAGTGTGATGGGGAATAGTTCTGTTGCTTCATGATTCTCGCAGTGTGAACCCTCAAAACAATTACATGCTTTTCTAAGAAATGCTGGGGGAACTTGAAGCCCGGTTCCTTCCCCCCTCCTTTAACTTTATTTTGAAAAATACTAATATTCTAGATTTATCACCAATTGTTTTTCATGGAGAATAAATTGTAGTCTTTCATTGGGATAGAGCTTGTATTGCTGCAGTTTTATACCTGGAATACTTGGCATCATTTAGTTAAGGAAATGGACTGATGCAGCTAGAGTATACAGGAAGACAAGTCATAAGATTTTTTTATAGAAGGACAGCTCCTGACATAACTACATTTGAGAGGTATGATGAAAGACTTGATCAAAAAACCTATGGAAACAATTCCTGGATTGTGAAGAAGGTATGAAAAAATAGATGTGCAAAAGACCTCATGTCTTCAATCTAAATGTGTAATGTCTTGTGTATTTCTCCTCCAGGTATTAGAGAGGCAAGGTTAAGAGGGTTAATGGACTGAAGCAGTTAGTGTTTGTGTGCCCCTGTTTCTGTAGAGAAATCTTGGGATTTTCTTTCATTCAAATATCATTGAATCACATAAATGGTAAGTTGCTGCCTAGGAAATTATCTTTTTTTTTTTTTTTTTTTGCTTTTTTTTAAAGATCAATTGAAGAGCAACAGAGTATTACAAATCAGTCACCCGGAGACACAAAAAAAAACACAGTAAGGTAAAAATTAATTTTTTTGTTGTTGCTCTTGGTCATAGACATTTCATGAAGTTCTATGTATTTTTACTTCAGTTCTGCGTTCCTTGCAGGCCTCATTCAGGACAGAAACACAGAATGAGCCGTGTTCTTCGGAGTGAGTATTAGCTTATTTTTACCCTTTCAAAACAAAGTCATGTCAAACACTTCCCCCCTGCCCCCAATAAATGGGTTGGTGGTTTGATAACTGCTATCCAATGTGTTTGGATTAATACAAAAATCATTATAGTGAAAAAAACTCTCCTAATTGTTATTTGTGGTTTCTACCCAGATGCAGATTTGGTGCTTGCCACATTTAGGAAACTATGAAAAGGCTTAAGGTTCTCTGGCAACTCATTTTGCAAAATCATTCACTATTTCACTATTTTCTGGTTCTCTTGGGTTTTGTTTGCATGTTTGCTTTACTAGCATTTACAGTATTCTAAGCAAAAGAAAGCTGCCTGAGGAGTACTGAAACTTGTCTTTTTCTGACTTCTGACCTAGATAACTTTGGGGGGAAGGAACTAAAGAGGTTGGCTGATTGGAAAAAGAAATTGTAGTGTAAAATGCACAAAGTTAGGATGTTCGTGCATCTTCCTGGTATTACTTTTTTTAAAACTTACAACATGGGTTATATAATATCTATAAGTAGATTCTGAAAACCATTAGCACCCTCTTACCACAAAGAGATGACCTTATAGCCTTTGCATGTGGCCATGTTGTACTTGGAAGGACAAACTCTTGAGATGCCTTGGATGCTTGCCACAGTTAGAACGTGACACATGTTCTGTGGAAATGATGGAACCTGTGTACAAAGTATCATAACTCTGCTGGTTAGTTTCCATTCTCTCTATGTAAAATGAGAGCAGTATGTGTAGTAAAAATATTTCGTTTTGGTAAAAACAACGAATGTTTCATTATTATGTACCAATTTTTACCTAACTGCTTAAAATATAATTCTTCTGTGAGCTCTGTTGCGCAGAAAATATAGTGACTTTTTTGAACAGTCTATTTTTTTGAGTCCTTGGACTAAGGTGAGATTTGTGTGTGTATATATATATTTCATATATAAAAGTATATTCATATATAAACAGACACTGAAATTTTCCCAGTCTGTCAAAGCATATCAAAATAGCGTACATTCTTGTCTCATGTAAATGGTAGAATGCAAAACGACTGCCTTAATGTTGATGACTCATTAGTCTGGATGTCTATTAACTGTCTTCTAGGTCTGAACAGCTTGCAAAATGTGGAAGAACACGGAGATGCTTTGGCTTGTGGCCGAAGAAGACAGGTTTGTACCCACTCTCTGTTCTAAATGGAGATAAAATGAATCTGCGCTGCATAGAATTTTTTTTTTCCCCCGTACTTCATTTGACTCTGTCTCCAAAATGCCTGGGTTTAAGGTTCTCCACATTACTCAAGCTGTGCTACAACTCCTGAAACTGTTTTTTAAGTTCTAATTCCTGTCTTCAAAAAAGACTTTTTTGTGCAGTCTCAAATATTGTTGCTAATGCTTAGGAGCTTTTAACTTGTTGAAATACACTGTTACTAAAACTTAATCTGAGTCTTTTTAAAACTTGTGAAAAAGTAAAAAATTCTTTCCGCTGTTTGGATTAAAGAATTCAGGATGTCATTTGCCCATGAGAGTTTTGGGCAAACATGAAAGACTTTGTTTTCCCACTTAGAAGGTTAAAGATCTAGCAATTTCATAATTCAGTACTTTGCTTATATGAGGTGAAAACATATGTTTACTTGGAAAACTGTTCTAGTTTTTATAAACCAAATAATAGGGTGTTTTTATAATGCTACATTTCAAATAGTCCTCTGCGTTCTCTTCATGGGTAAGCCTACTTCATTGAATTACTTAAAAATAATTCTATTAAGTTCACTAATGCTAGAATTCCCTATTGGTGGGAAGTACAGAAGTGTATGCCTTAATAGAAGGGAATTTGAAGTTGATTTGATGTTGGGGTGAACTGTTACAAACTCATTTTTGCGCGTAGCCAATTTTCTTCAGTTATGATAAAATGATAAACAATTCTGAATGAAATTAATATTAAATAAACGTATTCCCATTGTTGAATTCCTCTTGAATATTTCTTAGCAAGCAATATGAAGTCTTTCTGTTTAAATAACAGTGCAAATTATCAACATACATCCATTCTGGTGTGAGCTGTTTCATGTTTCTGATGTTCATTTTGGCATTTCATTTTTCACATAACAGGGAAGGACGAACCTGCTTATGTTTTTTCAGACTGCCCTTGAGGAGAGTTGTACTTATTCCTAGTTCTTTAAGCACTTTACTGAAGTTCAAGTCCTGGTTAAATCTTCAGTTACATGCTGTCCTCAAATTGGTTGAGGTCCTAATGAGAGCTCATCTGCCCTTGGACATTGTGCCCCCTGCTACATATAAACAGTTTTTTCACTTTCTCACAAATCTTAGGCATAGTTAAATCACTGAGACTGATTAAAAGCAGCAAATACAGCCAGTGCCCTAAAGACCAAAATACCTGTACGTACTGGATTTGCTTGTTACTTTATTGCAATTTATACTTGGATAGGTACCTTGTCAGATGCTGGTAAGCATGCATGCTTCCATCAGTTTTGTTATCAACATCAAGATTTAAAGTAACTGGACCACAGCTGACTCGGAGCTAATGACAGCTTTATATTCAACTGTTTTTATGTTGAGGTAGTCTGTTATTGGGTCAGCTACAAGCACTGAATCTTGGTCTAGGTCTTGTGCATAGATATCACTAGAAAAAAAAAAAGATGTGCTTAATTCTGTTGTTATAGTTCAACTTATATGGAACATAAAAACTAAATTTATAGAAAACTACATCTGATAGTAGCAAAGAACTCATTGAAAATTTTATAAAAACTTGAAAGAAATTAAAATTCAAAACTATGTTTCTTTTAAACACTTAGAAAATTAGGCATTTGCTGTCTGCCTGAGATTTATGGCATACTCCCTGCCAGTGAGACCTGTATAGAAAACAATGATATTGGCCTTTTAAACAATAAATCTGATCCTCTGCTTAATTATCTGGGTTATAAAATTGTCTGCATGCATGAAAGAATGTAGTGAATGTCAGAGCAGTTGACTTCTAGAACTTCCTTTTCCATGTAGTCCCTCTTTCAATGTTGGCATTGTTTGCTCTTGTTTTGTAAATGGCATTTCATTGCAATGGTTCAGTGCCCATTTTCAGCCTTTCATTGCTGTGTTTTCAGTTAGCTGCATACAACAGTCTGCAGTGCTATTGAAAGGAAGTGTACTTTATTTTCTCATCCCTAAATTAGGGGATGCAAGTGTCACAGATTTTAGGGAACTGTTTGTATTCCACTTTATATCCTGTATGTGTATGGCAAGTCCTGTGAGGTGTCTAAAATCTGACTGACACTTTGCTTAAATTAAAGAATCTGTCTGAAAATCTGGGTTTTCAGAAGTTAGTCAGACCTGTATGGAATAGAATTCCATATATTTAAACTCTGGGGGGGAGGAATCAGAAGAGTCCCAGAATGCATAATCAAAGGAAGACAGGTTACTAGAGCAGAACTGACTCTAAGGAATAACAAGATCTTTAGATATGTGAGGGTATGTCTACACAATCTGTCTGGCAAACTCAAGCTTGCTTTGCCAGCGTTCTGAGCTACCCAAATGTCACATTGCTCTGGAGTAGCCACTGTCATTACGTTAGCTCAAGCATAGTGCTGCTTTATGTCCAGTCTCTCAACAAGTCTTGCTAGCCTGCAATAGTGCAATGCTGGAGTCTACATAACTGCCATCCCAGAGGGCGCAGGCAGTTTGTTTGTGTGTGTGTGTGGGGAGGCAAGTTACTGCTCTGTATAGTTCCTCAGTGAAAAGAAAAAATGAGTCAGTCTCTGGCTTACCTGTAAGGCAGGCTCCTTGTTTATATGTTAAATTGAAGAATTTTTTTTAAAAAAAGCTCAATGTAAGCAATTTAAAAGCAAAACAAGTAAAAACCAACCCTTCTAAAGGCAAATGTAATTAATCATTACAGCAAGTAACAAGGGTTGTGATTGTTGCTGGAAGTATTTGAATTATCTGGTGCTGTAGGTCAAGCATAACTGTGTTACTTGAATAAAGATTTTATTTAGGAAAGTTTTCTGGCATGCTGTGAAATGAGATGAACTAGATGGTTCCAATGGAATCTCTGGCGTTTTAATAATAGTAAAAAAAAAAACAAAACACCACAAAACACTATCCACTGCTAATGTTGCAAAAGATCTGTGGAACAGGAAGTATTAGAAAAAGGAAGTATTTTTGATAAAGGGTAGCCTACTTTAGAGAAGTTTTAGGTTTCGAACTGTTTAGAAACACAGCTGAACTGCTACCACTCTTATTCTTTCACTGGTTAGTGAGGTTTATTAGTGATCATAGTTTCTTGAAGAGGCACTGGTAGTTTCATTAAGCTGGAATAAGTCCAACTTTCAGATCTGAAGTTTGATCTTTCACATACCTCAGCTTGCACCTTGTGTAGATGCCAAATTTTTGCTTGTTGCAGAATAACCAGAATACAGCTTTGATCAGGCTGAATATTACCTAAGCTCCTTCCCTCTGAAGAGGCACCTCTCCTGCCTTTCACGTCTGAGTGCTGCTGCCACTTTTACCAGTTCAAATTCAAGAGAAGAGGGGAACTATGCAGAATGACACTCAAAATTGCCACCTGGCCTATCACCAGTCCCCGAACTGTTGTTGCTCTTAAGGGCAGAAGCTTTTAAGGATCCCTAGAAGTGTTCCAGCTTATTAGAAGAAGAGAAATTTTTAAAAAAAAAAAAAAAAAATCTCCATGGATGAGGGATTTATCTGAGCATCCTTGGACACATGGACCTCTTGTGCACAAGCAGGATGATATGAATTTGTCTAATGACAGCAGCCATGACACTTACATTTCCACTGGCTACATTATTTGCAGAGTTAAGTGATATTTGTTCCCCTCTAATTCACAGATTTCCTCTGTACTACTCAGTTCTACTAGTTGGCTTTATCAAGTTTTAAATTTTTGTAAGTTGAGGCTATTCTTTTGCAACTGCATTTCCCTTTCTACCCAGTTTTTCACCATTTTGAAAGTTCTAATTGTAAAGGTCAGCCATAGCCTGATTCTCTTGGGTTCCCTCCTGCTTTATAGCCAACACCATTTACCCATCTGATAGTTGGAAGTGATCTTTTACTTACAGGAGGAGGTCTTGTACATACTCTGCTAAACCCCTCTTTTCATGCCCCAAACTACAAATTTTAGGACTTCAGCTTCATCCATTTACACCTCCTATTGCTCTTCTAATGTTCTATAAACATGTTTTTGTTTTGTGGTGGGTTTTTTTTGCCCAATCCAGTTGTTCCAATTAACCTGAGGATTTATTAGCACAAGTCCCTGCTGGGAGCCCTCATAAAGCTCTACAGGTTTGGTTACAAATTTATCATTGTAGGTGTGTTAGCAAAGGATCGGTCTCCCATAATATAAGGATCATATATATTTAATCTCAGGAATATTCACAACTCAGCCAGATCCTGCTGGCTGCAACACTGTTAAGGGATGTTAGGACCGGCCACATCCTCCAGCAGCCCCAGCCCAGGACCCTCCTGCCCAGCTGCTGGAGCCCAGCCCAGCACCTGGGGTCCCTGTTGAGGCTGGGGGATGTCACTGCTGCTTTCCCGTTTGCAGATGTACCCGGTAGCAAAGCTGAGCACAAATCTGAGCTACACAGACACAGGATATGCATACAGAGGACGCTGACACAGCTGGTCACACAGACTACCATGGACAAGGTGCCGCCCTCAGCAGTACCCACACATGGTACCTGTGTAAGACATAAACACAGGCAGCCAAGTCCCGTCCTCTTCTCTGGCAGAAGTGTAAGTTCACTGGTGAAAGCATACATGTGCCTCTCCAGGTTCACAGGCACATGAGTGTTTGCAGATGCCTAAGTATGGGCACAGCCCCTCTGCCTGCCCAGTACCCCTGCCTGCATCCTGGCCCTCACACCCGCTTCACAGGTCCTTTGCTTGCCAGCTGGATGCACCAAACACAAGCACTCACACACTCATCCCGTGGGTGCTCTATGTTCCAGTTGTACTCCAGTGTACACTAGCAATATGTCTCCCTTTCAGGCAAAAGGTGAAATTTTCACTCATTCAAGGAGATGAAGGAAAGGCAGGGGGGCCCTGTGCTGCCCGGGCGTTAGCTCGCAGTCACTGCTCCTGGGCTGACCCTCCAGCCTGACAATAACTGGAGACTCAAAGGAAAAGCTACAAGGCACACAAGGGCTCCTCCTGATTACCACATCTATCCTGGGCTCAATGTGCTGGTTGGGACTGTTAACATCAGGTCCTGAGGAAATTCGTACTGGAGCTGGAGACAGGGAAGGGGAGAGGATAACTGGCAATCCAGGTCTAAACCTCCACCCCTTGCCCTTGCAGCTGAGTTAATGCCAATCCCTGCCACGGTAGCTGCGTGTGGCTTCAGCCCTGTCCTAGACCAGCTTGTTCATTCCACATTCATATCATGTTAATAGCTGAAACCAACCCAGGCTTTCCTGACCAACCTTTCTTAAATTTTACCAGATACCAGATGTAACTTTACCAGACTTAACCTTGACCAGACCAGAATTACAGTTACCTTTCCCTCTTTTAGCCGGCAGTGGGGTGCTGGACTGACCTCTATTAACAGCTGAGATTCAGCAGGCGCCTACAGATGCCACTCAGCTGAAGTCCCTAACAAGATCTCACACG